CCTTCACATTAGTAACCATTACAATAACAGGTGGCCTCTCCTGCCAAACTAGACACCAAAAATCAACAAGTGTTTTTGACATTGGTCCTATAAAAATATACTAAAAACTAAAAATTCATTTAAAATTAGATAGATTTATAACTAGATCTAGTTAATTTATTGTAGTTATATAACTATTAATAGTTATATTACTGTTCCTGTTGTACCTTGTGTTGCTATGTATTGATAATCACTGGAGTAACCCTAACAGCATAAAAGGTAAACACAAATGTTATTTGTTTTTGTTGCACACCCTTCAATGTTTTGATAGACTATAGTCTATCATGCATAGACACATGTGCAAAAACAGCAATCAATAGAGAAAAAAACATGTTTACTATTGACTTACATCAACATAGCATGCATTAATGTACTCATGTGGACAATCTTTATGGCCTGATATTGGTCTTAGTATAATACGATTGTCATCATCTGTAAGATAACAGAAACACTTTTAAAGTAGTGGGTGCATATGATGAGTGAATAAACAATCTATTTGCTATGCTAACAATAACAACAACTTACAGACTACAATGTTTGCAAAACGATTCAACAGTTTATTGCTTGAACTAAGACCAACTGTTGCTGAATGTTCACTTTCACCACTGTCCAACATCTAAGATAATTAAATATTATTATTCAAATAGAGAAAATTAGAGGTATTACCGTAAACTGGGTCTTAAATTCCTCCTTCCCTTTAGCATGTCCATTAGCTACAAATTTTCCAAACTGTCTCACTGGTATTAAGTTTTTACCACTTTTGCCAGCTGAGGTACCATTACTTGACATCCTGGCCCCTTCTACTGCAACTGTGAGTACAACTTGTTGACTAACTGTTCCAGCATCATTATTAGCAACAAAACGATATGTTCCTTCATGTTTCTCCTCAACACTCACTAGCAGTAGACTACCATCTCCTCTCAGCTCATGAGCATAATCATCAGTCACTGGCTCTCCATTATGATACCAATTAAAAGATGGTTTTGATGTTTCTTTAACTTTAACTTTCAAAAGAACCTGACAACCTTCCTCAGTTGTCATATTACTAGGGAACTCTTCTATCACTGGCTTTTTAGGTTTCATTACTGCACTGTAAGTTGCCTCTTCAATTCTTTCTACTGTAATAAAAAAATTGAAGAAAATAAAATTTGTGTAAATAAAGTTTCTGCTTGCATTATTTGTGAATATATTTAAAGAGTGCAAAAACTCCACTTACATCCAATTTCTTCATATCCTGCATCATTATTATTATTTTTGCATGTACTATAGTATACAGTAGCTTCAGGTTTATTTGCCGAAGTATTTTTAGAAACTATGTCAATATTTTTACTGCTTCTTCTTTTTCTGTTTTGTAATCATAATAGTATACACAACGTATCTTAAGACTCACTTTAATACAATAACTACTACAATGATAGCTATTATCACTATTAACACTAGTATGCACACAACTGCCCCAATAGCTATGAAAATAGCTGAGCTTCCATTAGCAGCATCTATGAGATATAAATACAACAATACTACATAATTACAAGATGATTAGTACATTACCTGATGTAGATGTTGGTATATCAGCTGGTGGTATTGGTTGAGTCCTCTCTCCTTCATAAACAATCCCATTAACAGTATATGATATAGATATAGAGAACAAGTAGTTCAGATTAGGATCTAATCCTCCTATTAGACCTTCAGTAGTACCACCTGGAAATACTTTCATTCCTGTCTCTACTTGTCTCTTCTTTCTTGAGGAGCTACTGGTTGACTCATAATAGACAGTATAATGACTAGCTCTATGAATTAAATTCCACTCAGCCCTCACTGCTGTAGAACTGAGCTTTGTTACAAAAAACATTTCAAGGACAGCTAAAAGAAAATATATAACTAAACTTATCGTGACAATATTTTTTTACATATTCGACCAGTAGTATATTCCCTATCCGTCCAGTCTCCTGGTCCAATACTAGTATATGCTCTCACTCCAATAGTATAACTAGTATTAGGTATCAATCCAAATATACCGTAATAAGTGTTAGTAGTGTTAGTTATATTGTATGGACCAGTACTGGTAGACTCTCTATATCTTATCTCATATACTGTAATGATACCATTAGGTATTGTAGGAGGATTCCATATAATATTTATTGCATCTGGGTTTTTTGCATGTCTTAGATCAGATATCACACCAGGAACTGTGTTAAGATCATGTTAAACTGATCAATATCTCATTGACTTACTTGATTCACCAGTTAATTCTATTTCTTGTCTAGCTGGTCCATTCATATTATAATTATAAGGTATTATACTCACAGTATAGTTAGTATATGGTATTAATCCTGTGAGATTATACATTCTGTTGTCTCCTCCAGTGATATTAACAGTATAACTAGTGTTTGAAGTGATGTTAGTGTATGTGAGGTAGTATCCAGTGATTGGTCCATTCCTTCCATTGCAAGGTACTTCATCCCATGAGACAGTCATTGACACTGACTCTACTGATGAGAACATAATATCATCCACTGGTGCAGTAGGGGCTATATGATAATGAAAAGGACAAGTAACTATGAATAGCAATTATTATTTTACCAGTTGAAAGTGTTTCAGCTAAATAACCTGTAGTCAATTCAGCTATAGCGTCATATACTCCATTAAGATCAAAGGTACATTGACTGTAAGGAGGTATACCAGTTGAAGTATGTGGTGATGAAACTGACTTGTCAGTATTACCAGTTGTTGATGATTCACATACTCTCTTACAATCCCTAATAATATTATAACTAGTTGGTACTATAGCAGTTGGTGGACTCCATGTTAATGTAATTGTAGAATTTGTAGCTACTGAAGTCATAAAATCATTAACAATTGGATCACCTAAAAAGGATATGTGTTAATATAAATGAAATCATTTAGCTAGTACTTACTGATTGTCAATACAACTGAAGCAGCACCACTAGGTATAAAAGCTGTTCCATAAGATACTACAGAAAAAGTGTATGTGGTATCTCGAAACAATCCTGATGTTATATTGATTGTTGTTGAAGCAGTAGTGCCTACACTAACAGGAGTTAAAGTTGAGAATTTACTAAAGATCTCATAACCAATAGCTCCTGATACAGTAGACCAGGAGAGTCTTACATGAGCTAAACCAGTACTTAATCGTTCAGCTGTTAAACCAGTTGGAGTATCAGATACTGATATTACATCTAAATAATGTTATTGATTGTAATAATTACTAACCTGCTGATATATTCAATAACGAAGTACTATTTACTGCATTAGCACCGCTACTACTACTAATAGGACCATTAGTTACTCTGTCATTAGATACATTACACTGATAGTTACCAGCTTCAGTTAAGTTTATTAATGTTACTCTTATAACAGATCCTGGTCCATTCACTATCACACGAAATAATTCAGTAAATATTTCAGTCCCATTCACTGAGCAACTGACAGTAGTAGGAGGACCATCAGAAACATTGAAACTGAGACTGAAGACTGGAGGAGTAGCTAATCTACTAGTGGAGAGGAGAGAGAACTGCATAGTAGGATCAGCATCAGGACCATCTGTAAAAGAAGTACATTAATTTTAGTCTATATTCATCACATACCATTGTTATTGTATCCAGTATCAGTATATGCTCCAACCACTACTGTTTGATTCACTCCATTCTCATCAGGAATGATACACTTGTATAAACCTTCATATCCTGATAGTCCTTCTCTTCTAGCTAGTGCAATCTGACCACTGAATCTCTTACTGAACAATGGTCTAGGAGCTGAGTTATCACCAAAATCTCCATCAAATAAAGGTACTTCAGTTCCATTAGGATAATACCACACTCCAATATTAGTACTAGTGTTAGCACTCTGACACCACAAAGCATCATTGATACTATCATTATTTTGATCAGTATCATAAAACTGGCTAGCATGTATCATAGAGTAATCAGACATTATCCTGTCCTCATAAGCTAGATACAGTTGAACACCTGCATATACAACATCTATCTACTAAAAGTATTCTATTCAATCTTACCATTGCTAGAAATGGTAGAAATTATTGGGACTTGTCCTTGAGTTTGTGACAGTAAACACCACACAATAGTAACAAAATAGATATAATTCAAGGTCAAGCTGCTCATCTTGTAGCTACTGGCTTGCTGTGGTCATGAAAGTTGTTTTTGTGTATATACTTTTACAATAAAAACATAATAGCACAATCAGGGAAGTGTATGTATAATTTTAATAAAACACACTAAACTGTAATGACAAAAACTTTTTTAACCTGTTACTGTAGAAGCATAATGACAATACATAAGAACACACAAAAGTACTTCTATCTAGTAAAATTTGAATACGTCTCAAATGAATCCAAATATGTCAGTACAATCTGAAATATCCCTTGATATTGTTGCTAAAAATAGAACAGTATTCATCTAACTAGAAAACACAGTACAAAAACCATACCAAAACACAATTTTAAAACTATTAATTTTTTATCGAGGTAGAAAATAAAATGAAACATAAATCATTATACTTACAACAGTCTGTACACTGCCTGGTTTTTGAATACGTTGACTTTTGAGTACTTGAAATACATCAATGACTCCTTCAGTTTTACATTTATTAATTGTTGTAGCAGCTGCACAAAACATTGCTGAACGACCAACTGTATCACTATGAATAAGGAAATTAAAATTAATATTTAATCAGATTTCTTTCTCACCTGCAGTGTACTACAATGCTTGTGTTTCCTCTTTTCCTTTGTGTTCTGTACATTTCTTCTATTATCATTAAAATAGTCTGAGGATTCTTCACTTCTCCAGTTGAATCCCAGTTTGTTATTTGAAACTGTGTCACACTTTGCTTAACACCAGTCTAAACAAATCAAATGAAACTATACTTGCATGTATGCTATCTTACATTGTTATTCTTAACTTCAAATTTCCTTTCAATATATCTATTGTTTGTGTTTTCATTCAGTAGTGTGATATTGTATTCTCCTATTACTAGTGCAATTGATGTTGAAGGCCAGTATTGATAGCAAACTTCCTACAATAGAATAATAAAACCCAATTTCTTCATTAATAATGTTACTTGATTGTTTTCATTTTCATGGCATAGAATTACAATAGCAGTCACATTTCTATCATCAATCATCTTCCAGAAGTTTCTAGCTGTATTAAACATTGGACTCTCTGCAATTATGAATGCTTTCTTTTCTTTGTAACCCTAAAATGATAAGTATATACTTATGATACAAGGAACTAGTGACAACGCATTACATTAATAAAAGCTGCATTGATGTAATCTGGATGTTCATTCTTGAGTGGTACTCTGTGATTATTAGCTGTGGAAGGAAATAAAAAATTAAATGTAATTTTTGAGTGCATTTATTGATTAGATTATCTTTTTCTTCATTTCCATTCTCTCTCTTTTTCTTTTACGTGGTAGGAATTGATTTGATCTGTT